GGGCAGAACGAAATTCAGAGAGAGAGAAGGGATCATTATAGGGAAGCTGAAGGCGAGTGCAGAAATCTAAAGGACGAGACTCAAGGACAGGTTTACGAAGAAGGAAAGATTGGGGAAGATGAAGACCAGAGCTAACAGAAGAAAAGTGGGAACCCAATACGGAAGCGACCTGCAACGGGTCCGCCACAAGAGTATCATGGAGGTGAAGGACCGGTGAAACATCGGGAACGAACTTACCCGCTATCTTGCGGACACACTTCCAGATCTGGGCCAGAGGAGTTTCGGACGTAATTGTTGAGACATAAGATGCCCAACATTCACGTTTAGCCGCACGGATGGCCCTACGGGCCACCGCACTCGCTTTCCGAAAGAAAAGAAAAGAATCGGTCGTCTGCCTACGGCGGTGCCTCTTCCAGGCTGCACGCTTACAGCGGACAGCCCGAGCACAGTCCGCATTCCACCAGGGAACGCACTTTCGTGGACCCCGAGAGGAAGAGCAAGGGATAGAGCGGAGGGCAGCGTTGAAGACAGTGTCATGATAAAGGAGGAGAGCGTGAGAGAGAGGCAGAAGGGAGAGGTCAGGGAGAGGTCAGAGAGAGCAGCACTGAGGGTAAATAGGGTCCAGTCCGCCTTAGCAAACTGCCACCTAGGGAAAGAGAGGGAAGGGCGAAAGGAGAAAAAGGAAACAAGGATGGAAAAATGATCACTTCCATGGAGGTCATCAAGAACCTGCCACGTGAAATCTAAGTAAAGAGAAGAAGAGCAGAGTGAAAGATCAAGACAAGAAAGGGTGCGAGTCCGAGAATTAAAATGAGTGGGCTTACCAGAATTCAGAAGAGACGGAAGAAGAGAGGAAAACGGCTCAAGAAGGCGACCCCGGGTATTCGCAGAACGTCGCCCCAAAGAGAATGACGACAATTGAAGTCACCCAGCAGGAGCACAGGCTCCGGCAAGGAGTCTAGGCGGTGTTTCAAATCAGGAAGAGAAAGCGGGACACTCGGGGGGAGATAAATGGAACAAACTGTGTACCATTTCCCCACAAAGATACGAGCAGCAGAACAATGGAGAGGCGAAGGAAAAAGTAAAGGAACAAAGGGAACATCAGCACGAATCAAGAGAGCAGAAGAATTAGAAGCCCCAGCAACGGCTGGGGAGGGGGGGGGGGAGAGAAAGGAATAGCCACGAAAACGACCAGGACGAGCACCAAGCATCGGCTCCTGGAGACAGACACAAAGGGGCGAAAACCGCAAAATCAGAAGTTGGAGTTCGAGGAAATTGGCGTAATAACCACGAACGTTCCATTGAAGAATGGACAACGACGAGAAGAGAAAGGACAAAAACAGAGAACAAGGAAGAAACAAAGGCGAAAGAGCAACAGAGCACGTTAAAGAATATCAGGGTCGGGATCAGGGTCAGCAAAGTCAGGTTTAGGGGGCATAGGTAAACTGAGCAAAGACAGGAGGAAGGAAACGGGAGAACAGATCAGAGGTGGGCGGGCGGGATCCGGAGGAGGAGGAGGAGGAGGAGGAGGAGGAAGAGGAGGAGGAAGAGGAGGAGGAGACAACGGAGAGGAGCAGTCAAGGACAGCAGTAGGAAGAGGGGGGGTAGAAAGAGGGGAGCGCACCTCGGCAAGGGCAGCAACCGAGAGGGAAGCGGGGGCTAAAGAAACCTCCATAGCAGGAACAGGGGCCGCAACCACCGAAATGGGAGGGGAAGGAGCGAGAGAGGCAGAAGTAGGGGCCGAGGAAGAAAGCGAAACCTTCTTACCCGCCGTGGAGGAGGAAGGAGAGGAGCCAGGCTTACGCTTCTGACTTAAAGAGACAGGTGTCCCAGCAACCACGTACTGGGCAACGGATTCTAGCGTCTCAACAGGAAAAGCTGAACGAGAGCACACATGACGGCCGTTTGGAGAGCGATGGACATCAGCCCGCACCGACAGGCGGCGGGGAGAGTCAAGAGACGGAGGAGAAGGATGGGAAGGATGAACGGAGGGAGACGAGGAAGAAGACACAGGAGACACGACAGACCGGGTAGAAGGAAGGGGAACCCCAGACAGAGGACCAGGAGGTGGATCCTTCGGGAGAGAACCCAAAGGAACAGAGGAGGGGGCAGTGGGCGTATCAGGGTCCAAGGCCCGGAAACGGTTGAGAGTCTGAGGAAGGTGGGAAGGGCGAGGAGAGGAAGAGCGCAACACGCGAGCATAAGAGATATTAGCATAAGGCGGGAGCCGGCGAACCTGGCGTCTCGCCTCAGGAAAAGATAAACACTCCCGGTGCTTCAAGTTGAGGACGGCTGCCTCAAGCTTGTAATGGACACACGCATGGGAGAAGGTAGGATGGGCCTCACCGCAGTTGAGGCAACGAGCCTGGGGAGAAGTGCACTCCGACTAAGAGTGACCCTCGCCACCACACAAAGGACAGAGAGAGACAGTCCCGGAGCAGCGGAGGGCACCATGCCCAAACCTCCAGCACTTGTTACAGAGCCGAGGAGAAGGAATGTACTCCTGGACAGAGCACCTGGCACCAGCAAGAATGACAGAGGGTGGAAGGGTCCTACCATCAAAGGTAATCTTCACAACCCGGAGGGGTTGATAGCGACTACCACGAGGGGGACGAGTAAACGTGTCCACCTGGAGAACAGAATGGCCCTGGGCAGCAAGGATATGTCGAATAACGTCGTGGCAGTCGCGCAGGTCCCGAACACCGGTCGCAACATGGGGCGGGAGCACAATAATGCCAACACTGACATTCAACTGAGCGTTCTTCGAAACCCGAACAGGGGTCTCGCCAAGGCAGGATAAGGCAGCCAAGCGGGAAGCAGCATCCTGATAAGGAGCAGCAACGACACGTGTACCAAGACGAGTGGGGTTGAAAGTAATGGAGGCATCCACGGAATCAACGAGATGTCGATGGAGGGAGAAATCGTCAGGAGGCGCAGATTCAAGAGGCAGGAGATCAAAATATTTGGCCCACAAAGCGGGACCAAACAAGGCTTGATAGGTAGCAGAGAGAGAGGGGTTAAAAGGCGCAGTAGTTACAACTAGGGATGGAGCCGCACCAGGGGACGAGGTAGTCACCACTGGGGGCTTGGGGCTCGACCCAACCACAGAGGAGGCAGGGGAGCCAGGGGAAGGAGTCAGAGAGGCCAGAGGAGGAGCAAGGTCGGGGCCCAATGCAGTGGAGGCTACAGAGCCCGGTCTTCCAACACGGACCGACTCGGGGGCTTGGTCGCCCACCCCACGAGTCTGAGAAGGTAAAGCAGAAACAGCCGAAACAGGGGTCATCATCATTACGAAAAGGAATATTCATTCACGAATGTGTCCCCACACCCACCATGGAGCCACAATTAGAGGCAGGACACCCAACAAGTAGCTATCGCCGATCTTGCCGGGGCCTCCTAGGGGTGCGTCGTGAGTATGCGCCCCACAAACGCCACCTTAAGAAACCGACAGTCTGTCGAGATCGGGTTCAGTGACGAAAGGGGGATTGACAATAAAAGGTTTCCCTCGCTCTCGACGTCGTGTACTACAGTTCTACGGGTGCAAGAGTATGCCTCCTCAAGCACCCGGGCGTCAAAATAGAAGAAGTCCAAGGGAAGAACCAGAACAAGCAAAAGGTCGGCAGGAAACAGCAAGCAGATAGGAGAAGAGGGGGGAGAAAAACTAAACAGAAGGAAAAGGAAAAGGTGCCCAGCAGAATTGGAGAGGACGGCAGCAGGAGCACAAGGCTAGAAAAAGACAGAGGACTGTCCCAAGGAGCATCACACTCTGGCAGCCGCCCACTAACCCCCCTCACGGCAACAACGAGCTGAGCGGGGAGGGGGAAAGAATTTTCTAAGTTCCCCATAGTGTTCTCTCCTGAAATCGAGTTTATCAACTATTTCAAAGTCCCTATTCTCTTCAAGATTATATCGCAATGAATATTTAATTTCCAACTGGACATGATCACACTTTTTCCAAGCGAGGTAGATATTGAATGTCAAATATCTCCTCTTCTTTCCTGGTGAATATTAGATTTTGATGGAATATCCCCTTCTCTCATTCTTATGGCCTGCTTGACGTGTTGATACAATAAAGTCTCCAGAATGAGGTTTACAAATTTGCCTGTCCAAATGTCCTCTGTTTTAGCTTCGTAGGCCTCCCATTCTATTGCTTTAAAGGTCAAGTCCCCAAGTACCAACAATCATGACTCATCTTTATCTGCTTTTACTATAATCTCTCTCATGACCATTATGAGGCCCTCTCATTTGTCATCTAGTCCATGTCATCTTTGTCCAAGTGTGGCTTCTTGTTAGGCTATAGGCATTTACGATTATCAGTTTAGCATCCCGATTCCAGACCTGCAATGCCAGAATGTCAACTACGAGTTTTTTTTTTATTAACACACTAACCTTCAGGTGTTCTTTCACCAGCACAGCCACTCCTCCCACCTTCCTAGTTTTCTTGACACATCTCCAAACTGAGTAGGCAGACAACTAAAATACAAATTCATTTAAAATATTTTCTTCAAGTTTAGTAAATCTTTTGACATTTGTTGTTTTTCATTTTTTTTTATTTAAGAAACATGGAGCAGCCTACCTTCCAAACACCGAATGAACCTTTTGCTTTAAAAAAGAAGAAAAAAATTGAACAAATTTGAAGAAAAATGTCATAAAGGTTTGTTCAGTGTATGTAAGGTAGGCTGCTCCATTATTTAAAACATCGAATATCATATTGATGTTTTTCGGTGGTAGAATGGATTAACTTTATTTCCATTATTGTCTGAGGAAATTCGCTTTGTATGACGTCCGTTTCACATGACGACCACGGTGCCAGAACGGATTAAATTCATTATTCGAGGTTCCACTGTAAATACAATTTTCAGGAACATGTTCCCTTTCTGTTCGTCCTTTACTCCCCCTTCCTCTAATGATTTAGTTGTTTTGTTTTTATGTACCATTTCACTAGCTTTCCAGTCCCTAATACTTCCTGGAAAAAAATCTTTCTTCATTTCTATTCCCATTTAGAGGTTTTCTTCATCAAAATTTGTTTTCAGCTTTTCTGTTTTCCTTTGAGAGGTCTTGTCGTATTGACCAAAGTTTTCCATCTTCATCACACTGCAATTTTCCGGCATTTCTAAGCACTTCTGTCAATTGTTTCACTCCATTAAATGTCACCCTTAAGGGACAATTCTTGTCTCATTTTCCAATCCTCCTAAAATCACTGACATTTTCCTTTTACTTTTGGTCTTCTCCTAAATCTACTATTTTCTCTGATTTTCATCTCTTCTGCTGCTTTGTTCACCCTAGATGATATTTCCTTTTCTAAGCACCCAAAAATTATTATGACTTGCTTCCATCTGTAGTGTTTTGTGCTAGTTTACTGTTGGTAACCAGTTCTTTCCTAATTACTTGCGTAACTTCTGCTTCTTATTGGTCATTACTGGTTTTGATTTCCAAACACACTTCCTTGATAGTGTGTGCACCACCGAAAGTGCAAGAGGTGACTTTACCTCTGGTGCAATACCATACATTCAAGTGTGCCATAGAAGGTGCAGAGGTGACTTTACCTATGGTGCAATACGATACATTCAAGTGTGCAATAGAAGGTGCAGAAGTGACTTTACCTCAGGTGCAATATTGAACATTCAGGTGTGCAATGAAAGTATCAAGGAGTGACTTTACCTCTGGTGCCAAATATTCTGGTGTGCCACAGAAGGTGTGTGTCGTGCAGCCATATGCAATATCTTGTTTGGCCAATCCAAAGTCTGTTATTTTAATATGACCATCAGCATCTAGTAGTATGTTTTCCAGCTGCAAATAGGTGTTGGTCAGTCAATTCTTGACTTATAACAATATTACTTCATCCTTAAATTAAAATTAAAAAGTCCGATTAATGAAAAAATGGGATGTATATATACCGTTTTTAAAAAAAAAGTTGAATGTAATGAAACGCCTTTTTCTGGGTGAGCCTCTGAGGCTCCCTGGAGCTATCGGGCAAATATGTAATACATTAGACCAGGGGCTTTAGTCAATGGAATTCAGTCTACCGAGGACCACATGCCAGAACCTGGTCCCCTAAGAGAGGCGCAGAGCGCAATTGGCCCAGAAAACCCCCGGGGTGGGTTGTTTCCTTATTTGCCATCGACCAGGGTCAGGCACCCAGAAAGGTACGCATAACAAAACAGACCCCACATGGTAAGAAAATTGCAACCGAAAACCAAACAAAGGCAGAACTCCCTCATTTCCCAAGGAAACAAGCAATGTCACACCACATCGTCGCGCCGTCGTCCTCGCAGACCTCTCCTCCCTGGGCAACCCGTTCTCGCAAATTTAATAAGTCAATATTGACTTATTAAATATGTGCATAGGTGACATACTTAACATAATAGATACCCTTAAAAAGATTCATAGAAAACACCGACCTTACCTAACCTTGTTAGTATCTTAAGATAAGCATCTTATAGCTTCGTAATTACAATTATTACCTAACCTATAATAGGTATAGGTTAAGTAATAATTGTAATTACGAAGCAATAAGATGCTTATCTTAAGATACTAACAAGGTTAGGTAAGGTCGGTGTTTTCTATGAATCTTTTTAAGGGTATCTATTATGTTTAGTATATCACCTATGCACGTAGTTAATAAGTCAATATTGACTTTACGAATTTGCGAGAACGGGTTGCTCTGGGAGTGGGAGCCCCTGAGCCCATGCGCCGGCCACTTAGCAACTCTGGTGCCAGAAACAAATACCCATTTGATATTCCAAGAGTGCGACTAAACCAAACTAGAAATGCTCTACTAATCAAGGGACCCAGAATGTGGAATAACCTCCCCAATCATGTCAAAAGCTGTACCTCTCTCAACCAGTTTAAGAGTAAGACTAAGCACTACCTAATTAACTCAATGTAACCTACCTTATCCCCTAAATGTCAATCCATGTCTTGCTATTTTAAACAATGCTGTTTGTTGACCAACGTGTTCAATTGCTGATTTCATGTCCCCCCTCCCCATTTTTTATGCCTTTTTTAACACAATTTATAATTTTATTTACTATTAAATTTTAGTCTAAGTGTCTTTCCCCCCCCCCCTTACACCTTGCTCGAAATGCTATGTGTATTAGTGGCTTTAGGTATTGGATTTATAGATAGAGCTAGTACATACAACATTATGTTTGTAACTCTTCATCTATGTATGTACTTTTACCCGAATAAAAATTTGAAATTTGATTGGAAATCTGAACTCGAGTTTGGAGGCTAAACACTAAAACAAAACGAAAACCACCGACCAGGGCGGAGAGAGGGAGGGTGCCAGGGCGGAGAGAGGGAGGGTGCCAGGGCAGCATCCAGGACTCGCCCAGAAAGTGGAATTTCATTACATTCTATGCTTGTTTTCTGTGGGGAGCCCCTTTGACTCCCTGGAGCTACATAACCAAAGGAAAAGAGCGACTTACCCGGGAGGCGGCCGTCACTCACCCCTTAACTCGAAGTCTGGCTGTAACCTGCGACCCAAAGTAACACGAGAACGCCCAAGCCCAGAAATGGTAACCAAATATCTGGCAGCCAGGACCTTGTTCGACCTCCAAAATCCCCGTGCCTGAATATCAGCTCAAGACATGTTGCCAAACATGGCAGCCAACGCAGCAAACTTCCTAACATCATGGCCATAAGGATACATTGCAGGCTGGCTAGACTTAATAACTCTGCACACAACTTGGGAGACCCCGGAGCTTGGAACAGGGAACGAGGGGACCTGATCAACCCAAAGCGCATCCCAGCCACAGAAGCCGAAGTGTGCCGGTAACGGCGTAGAGCCGCAACACAAGATAAAATGCACCCCTAGTCTGACCAACCAAACATCAATAACCCAAGGACCTCTCTGTAAAGCCCATCCAGTCCCCTTCACCATCCACCCAGTCCCGTCATCATCCATCCACCCAATCCCCTTACCATCCATCTAGTCCCCCACCACCCATCCTGTTATCCTCCCAAATACAATATTCAAGCACGATCGTCACTAGGCGGGAGACACTGGTAAACTGTGCGCGCCTCGTCCAGCCCCTCGCCTAGCAGAACAGAACCATGTGCTTGGTGGACCTGGACGTGTATAAACGAATTCCGAACAGCGAGGCAAACTACGGGTACCGAATAAAATTTTTTGGAGAAAGTGACTACGAGTACCGAAAATTATGTGAACCGAGGCTTACAAGAACTGAGGTTCCACTGTATAGGGATGGTTCACACATTATATAAATATATCACACTACACACTAATGAATAATATTACTGCAAAAAAAGAAAAAAAATCAGACATTGAAATAATTAGGTAATATTATCTCTGTGGCAACTTCCACCCGACAGCTCGGATGGAATAGACCTCTCTCCGACGCTTGCTCTGCCAACACCTCTTTTTGCCAGACTTTCCCCGCCCTATTGTGGGCAAACTATGCCACCTGTGATTTTATTATTTTTCCCGTGATCAGGAAACACAAATGAACACTTTTATAAGACAATTTTTATTATTATTATTTCTTGTGCCTGGGCGTGTTGCAGGTTATAATTGCAAGAGCAGCCCAGGTGTTAATGAAAAGCAGGATCCCAGTTGGTGTCTCTAATGTGTGCTTTATGAAATTTTCCATAAACTATTACTGTTTATTTACATAAAATATTACTGTCAAATTATCATAGTTTTAAAAATATATGGTTTTAACCACTGTAATATACAAGTATATCTTAAGGTTATCTTGAAATGATTTCGGGGCTTTATGTTTTTACGAATTTAAGCCGTTTCCAGAGATGGGTCGGAACTCAAATATTCATAACTAAAAAGTTTTCCCATAAGAAATAATGTAAATTGAATTAATCTCATTCCACACTCCCAAAAATATTAACTTCAAAATACATTTCGTACTTAATAGACATTTTTACTATGGTATGTACAAGTAATAGCTTACCTTTATTGATGACTTACCTTTATTGTTGGCGAATGGAAGACTGTGAGGAGGGAGGGGGAGACGGAGAAGTGTTACTGTTTGGAAGGGGAGTCCCCCTTCCATTATAACATCATGCAGTGATGACTTCTCTGGGATAGTCTCTCTCTTTCTCCTACATTTTGCCTGCATACCTCTAGGACCTGATTTGTGGCTCACTGCTTGATTGTCTCACTAAAAACCTTTCCACAGAGACTTGTTTTTCCTTACGTTTTACTATTTGTCTGTAGAGAGGCATCACAGTGTTACTGCAGCTTGATTTAGGCGAGTCGTTCAACAACTGTGCATTTCTTCCCATACTGCACACCACTTTTCAAGTGCACACCATCTTCAAGTTCTCTCGTTTTTCCTCTATGGTCATCCTCACATGTGTTTTCTTAGGTTGAACCTTATCACTGGCAATCTTGGGAACCATTGCGTGATATAATTACTTTTATGTACAAAAAGCAAATAAGCACAAAGACAATGAAATTCTTTAAAAAGAATTCAAGCAAAATCATCACTAAGCAGGTGGTCTGGTAAACTGAAGTGGGGTCGCCTGTGCCACCAGGAATCATTCGCTCCTTTGACCCATACATGTATCAACAAAGTCGCAAGTCGAGGGAAAAATCGTAAGTTCAGCAAATTCTCTGGCGAAATTGGGGTCGTAACTCGAAAAATTCCTAAGTAGGGGGCATTCGTAAGTTGAGGTTCCACTGTATTATATTGTAAGATAAGTGTTTTTGCTGTTATTACACAATACACATAATAGTTGTCATGTGAATTCCCTGCATAGCAGTGGAAATATCTTTGCCCCTCACCCTCAATGTGAACTGGAAGTTCACCTCTACACCAGCCAAGATGAGTCGAAAGTCCAGCCACCTCTCCGTACCCTTCAGGGCCAGGCACGACCTGGTACGACTCAGTAGCAAGCACAAGTAATAAATACTCATACTCCGCCAAAGTACAACAGAAACAAGCAACACTTAGTGGGCCAGCCAGAGGCTTAGGGCCCACACAGGAATATCCCTGAAAAAAAGCAAGCAGAGCACTTTTGCCAACCAGTAGTTTGCCTTCACAAACCAGCAGTTAGCCACTTTCAACTAGCAGTGGGATGCCTCAATACAAAGGTGCTGTTGGAAATTTCCAACACTAACAAACTATTGTATTATAATACATCATTATATACTAACTACAGTAGTTACTAATTTCACTAACGGTATTGTTAACATAAATTAACAATTTTATCTGCGCATTAGTGCTAGAATTCTCACAAAATCGAGTAAGATAATGTCTAGTTAGACACGTTTATTATCAATGTGTTAGAGAATTGAATGTGGTTCTCTAAAATTATCAGTATTCCATGTAATAATTACCTACGGATAATATGACTCCCGATAATCTAAAACCGAGAGTTATTAACTGAAATTATTATCAAGTAGCAGTTTTATCTGTTACATACGAATGCTATGGAGAGAATAAAAATCTTCTCCATTTCTCGTTTAACACCATTAAACGAGAATATGATAATATTTAAGTCCCTATAATTGCAACCAGTTCTCATTAACGTATTACATCAATAATTACACGGAAAATAATTATCCGTGATTAATAATTTCTGTAGTGAATGCGAGAGACGGGTTGAGGGAGGGCGAAGACGCCATTGCACACGAGGCATCCCTGGCGATAAGCGTGGCGAGACGCGTGGTAGTGACTGAAGAGTTTTCCAACAAGAATTACGTTGTAACTCAATTAATAGTCGACAATTGCCTATTCACGTGTTCTACAGTGCCCTGCCAGTTAATAACGCATCAACAATTGAAGCCACGGCCCGTAATTACGCGT